TACTGCCGGCTAGCGACTTGAGGACATTGTTGCGGCTCTGTACTTTGTTGACAATGACGGGCGTGCGCAGAGGGGAGCAGACTGTCGAATGTTACTCCGATTATTTTAGGATTATACACCGTCGGAATTGATGGGTCATCGACGTGAATACCCAGCGGTAGTCTGACCTCCTCCGTCCAGGTGGTAAATAACGTCGCAGAGGATTGTGTAGGGGAGGGGGTTAGAGTCCTAGCAGAGAAGCGAGAAAACTCGGAGAGATACCCGTTTACTTTCGAGCACAGGTCATCAATTCCATTCCCAGACGTTATTATCGAGCAATCGTCAGCGCAAGAGACAATCGCGACTCCCTCTGGTGGTTGTTCTAGGAGCGCCTTTGACGGATCCAACGATACTAGAATGTTTCTCTCACAGGAACAGTTGCGGTTTAGGCCACGTGTTATCTAAGTGTTTATGGTTAAGTGCTGTTGTTGTACTCTGCACTTTACGGAAACCATGCTGATGTTTCGCTGGGGTCAGGTGGTTCGTATAATACGGAAATAGCAAGGGCTCTAGTGTCTTCGTTACCGGGGAAAGGAAGAAAAGACTCCTTTGTTGGCCGGTTTCCCCGGTTTGAGCAGTGGGCCCACTCTCCCCATCTTCCAGATATCTGGAATGACGAAAGTGGCCATTGACAAATTGAGGACCTCCGTTAGGTACGCTACTCCCCCAAGACCCAAATTTTTCATCATCAACATGTCGTCGTCTCAGAAAACGGATGTCGAATGTTACAAAACACGGTTTTGAGAAAATTGACTTTGAAGGTTAAGGTCGAATTAATCCGAAACTGTACGGTAGATTTTTGTAACTTTTGAAGGAGACGTAGTTGGTGTTATTAGTTTTGATTTCCCATATTTTTACATTTAATATCTCTTAACGTTAATGAGAAAATTTACTTTTCATTCCGTATACATTTGTCGTAAGTAGCGTTTACTCACCACTTTGTTTTGTCCACAGAACATACGACAATAGTAAAGTATCTATTTCAACGACGATGGTATAATTTGATGAAAAAAACAGACATATTTATTAAATAATGATTACTTATTAGAAAAAACATAACAAAAACATAATCATGTATTTAATAAAAAAAATCTGTACATCTCTTATGCTGTAAATATGTTACGAACATACGTTTTCTTTATATAAAAACAAAAAACAATACTTAAATTCAGTCTTTTGTACATTTTTATCTCTTTCATTTCATTGGAGACTCAGTGCAAGCTAAAATTTAAAAATTTAAAATTTTAAAATTAGTTACTTAGTTTAATTTTCAATTTTAATTGTATCGTTATAGTAGCGGACCATCCAATTGTCGTAAGTTCAAAGTTTTGCGATACATACGACAAATGTTTTATGATTAAAAAAAGATTACATTTGTATGGGAATTTGTCGTATGTGCCACATACGACAAACGTTTTATGATTAAAAAAAAGGTACGTTTGTATGGGAATTTGTCGTATGTGACGCATTTTCAGCACATACAACAAAAGGCATACCCAATCATTAATATTATGTAACATACGACAAAATGCGCACGAAATATCTCAAAAACTAATGGAGATATAAAAAAATGGATTGCAGAAATCGAAAGAGCATGTCCAACTTAGTAAATCTGCATCAAAATCCCAAAATCGTGATTTTGCACATTCGTCATCCGTTTTCTGAGGCGACGATGTATATTCCGTCGGGTCCTATGGCTTTTTAGGCTTTGGACTTCCCGATGGCCACCTGAACTTCGCCGCTGGTGAAAACAAGAGGCGCACTTGTTGTTGGCAGTTTGTCCAGCCCTCTGGTCACTCGACGCTTGGCTCTATCCACTGGAGGATGCAGTATAAACTGCCGGCTAAAGTAGCTCGCGTATCTCTCCGGGTCCGGTGAAGCGTGGTCGCCGAAACATATTTCGACTCTGTCGTCGCGCATTGTCGGATTGCACAGTGACCTCACGGTTGATCAAAGCTTGCTCACACCAGAGGCGAAGTAGCAAGTCTTCAAATGATCTTCCCACTTTTTTCGCTTATATACGTTCACAAGCTGCCGAATCTCCGTGTTGAGATTCCTGATATGGGGATTACCGGGATCGGCCTGACGAAGGTTGTCACGCTCATCGGCTAGGACAGCCGCTTCAGCAGGGAAGTTTAGGCGGGGATCCGTTATGCAACCTGCTAGTACGAAGCGAGCTGAAGCAGCAGCGACAACCCTGCGGAACTTGCGTTCACCAAGATGGACGTCGGTTGGTGTGGGGAGGGCAGAGAAGGTTCTTTCGGTAAAATCCGCGAAGCCTTTCCAATCAGCTTTGGTAAAGTTGATATAAGTCCGGTATTCCGCGGAAACAAAGTCGGGAGGTTTATCGATCGAGATGACTATGAGCAGATGGTCTGATACCAAGGACAGCATAGGTCGCTATGATACGCTGTTTATCAGACCAGCGCTGACTATTGTTATGTCTGGCGAATTGCAGTCTGCTCATCCAAGTGTATTCCCCTACGATCATTTGACAGGCTTGAATGCCAAAGATCGTGGTGCGCATTAAAGTCGCCAACTACCATAAGGATTTCACCTCTGCGAAGCGCACCTATTTCAGGGTGATATCCTACCGGGCAGCTGGTTAAATATTTCGCGCTCGACATGACCTGACCGGATAGCAATGCCCTGATATTCTAGGATGGTATCCCGGCGGTCACCACCATTATCTCGCTCGCGATCTGGACGGTGCACATTGTACCCGGCGCAATTCAACAATATTGAATTGCTGTGAAACTTCGTCTCTTGGACCGCAGCCATGCCTTCCCATGAAGACGGTCATCTCCTTAATCTTGCTATGAAGTACATTACAGTTAAATTGAAGAAGCCTCGTGTGGTTCGGGAGACGTGTTGTTATACCGCCATAGCCTGTGAGCGCTGCAGTGGGGTGTGCCGCCCTGTGGTGGTACTGGGTGGCGCCCAAGCTGGAGCTCGGGACTGTGCAGCGCAACACAGGCCCTCGAAATTCCCCGTCCAATCTCGCGTGGTGCGCAGACCTCAACATGCCCAAAGTGGCACCAGCCAAGGCAGGTGTTGCACTTGACTGATATCACATTACGGAATATCCTGGTCTGATATACCGTGCAGATTGTAGGGGGAACTACGAGTTGTTGGCGGCGGCGTGTGGGTAGCGGTGCGGTTGTGTTTCGGTCTATTGTATTGTATTGTGCTGAGGTGTTTGTGCTGAGATGCTCAGGCGGACTGGGGTTTGCCGTGCGGCAGCTCTGTTAAAGCAGCAGGGGGCTACAAATGAAGTGGTCCACTGACGATGTGTCCGAAGGCCTGAGCAAACTCTTAGGTGACTCCACCCGTTGCAAGCATTGCACTTGACTGAGGTGGAGTTGTGGTGTAGTCGTCTCTGGTATACACAGCAGGTGTAAGTTTCTGGCCCAGCATTCGACTCGATGCGAGCCCTGAGCAGTAGAATACGTAGCAGATACAGCCCTATGGACGAACGTCTGAGATATGTCGCCGACCTAAACGGGGTTAGATCGCCGAAACAACCCCGTTTGGGGGCCCTGGTTGGGCCTAAGTGGGCTGGCGCCCTCTGGGCCTAGCGTCCACGTCAACCTATCCTAACCTAACCTAAACAATGAGGATATGGAATATGTGCACTGACTTAATTTTAATGTATTTTCGCGAATTATGAAGGTTAACACTATATTTCATCAAAATCAGATCATATTTAACATTTGGAGCCATATTTTTCCTGTCGACCAATCTTCACTATTTTTCAGATTTATGTTTGTACGGGTAAGACGCATATGCATTTAATCAGAATCTGATAACTTTTAATATGTCCGCCCACAAGAGTGGGAGGCGTGGCAGTAGGCTTATCCTGACCATATTTTAAATTTTCTGTTTTCTGCGAAAGTAGAGCATATACAAAATTTTGTTGAAATTGGACAACGTTTATTTTTTTTGTCCACAGCTTATATGGGGACGTTACACTGTGCGGCGTAATAATAGGAATCATAACTTACACTGCGCGGTATTGAAATCATACCATACAAATCGCCCCGATCTAATGTACATATAAACATTATGATTTCATTTGAAACATAAAGACGCGATTCTTGGGAGCATTTCTTTTTTCTCACACGTATTCATAAGACCAGTGCCAAATAGCACCATTGCATTAAACCACTCAAAGTACGCTAACGTATAAAAAATGTTATGTGAGCAACGAGAATGTATGTTTATATTCACACTTTCCATGCGTGTTTAAAAATTTGTAGTTAACATATCGATGGCTGAGTGGAAGATCGACCTATATCGGCAGCCAGTTCGAAAACATTCTACCTCAAAAAACTTTTCAAG